TGCTAAAAAACAGTTACATGTTACGTGCGAAATGTTTAATTAAAAAAAAAAAACAGCTAATTTTTCAAGGTTCTTTTCCTTTAAAGCCATTTTGCCAACTATCGAAGCTAAAAGATAAGGATCGAAATTCAGTTATTTTAAGTTGAAAGCGCTGCCGGTAAACCCGTCCCACATTCTACACCCGTATGGACAATTTTCTAGGGATATCACTGTAATTTGTCAAATCCATCCCTTGAGCTGGTGCATTTGTTCTCAGGAATATGAGAAAGGCCGATTCCCAGTGCAGATCGAACTTGTCTTGAAATCCTCCTATCTTTCTCTAGAAAACGTTTCCCGAGAGGCTGAGAAAAGCAATAAGCTTCTACGCCATAACCACGAAGTCGACTTAAATGGAGAAGATAGTTCGGCTAAGAAAGTTGAGAAATCGATGACATGGCATTTTTTGTCGCACGTCATTGTATCTTTACGGAGCAGGCTCCAGATCTTTATCAAATTTACTTGACGTAGACAGTGCGCATGTCACACCAATTGACTGTTTGTTCTTTTAATGGCCTGCCCCTCACCATCACTCGAAATCTCTCCTTGAATATCCTAGTGTCTAGATTTTCTTTACACTCTTCTTGCAGAACAATGGAAGTACAGCAAGAAAACACAGCTGTTTGTCACAAGTAACCTGCTGTAAAGATGGTAAGCGGAAAAATTACACAGTAATTTTTAGGGAGTTATTATAACTCCAAAAATGGAGTAAACATTTTACGTACAGGATAACCCCTTTTATGGGGTTAATTTAACTCCTAATTTAACTCCAAATTTGGGGTCATTTTTACTCCTGAAAAAGAGTTCCTTTAACTCCCAGTCTGGAGTAAAAATAACTCCGAAAATAGGGTTATTATTTTAACTCCTCAATATCTGGGGTGATTTTTACTCCTGAAAAAGAATTCTTTAAACTCCTTTTTGCAGTTAAAATAACTCCCCCCAAAAATAACTCCACTGTAAGGAGTTAAATTAACCCCACTGGAGGAGTTATCATAACTCCTTGAAAGTTACTATAAAGCCAATATAAAAGACATCTTTTAAGCATTTTCTAAGAAGAAAATGGAAACTTCGTTTTTTGTGATATTGCTAGGACACTTTTACTGTATTTACATCGGCTGATAATCTCATTTATTTTATCTTTTTGTTTAAATATCAGGCAAAGACGGTAAAGATGGAAAAAACGGTGAGTTGACACAAGGCGCCTCTCCAGTTAATAATTACATATACCCCCTTCATTAATTCTGATATTACTGTGACCTTCAAGTATCATTGGAACATTTTATGGCTACCTTTTATGTATACCTTACACAACAAATGGCACTTCTACAGAACATGCTATGATGAAAAAGGAATTAGACAAGCTGAAGAGTCAAACATTTGGTTTATAACTGAGGAAAAGTCCCTACCGTTTGATATACCAGCATGGTAGCCTTTTTATTGGAGCTTCCCTTTATTAATCATAGTCCATCATAATATAAAGGACTACTCAGATGAATTCCTTACTGTCTTTACTAGTAAGACTGTTGCTCATCATGTTTTGGATAAAGCAGCCCCAATTTATTTCAGTTCGCTTTGGTTATATTATATAATGAAACTATCTATTTTGTTTCTGTTCACACAGGCAAAGACGGGCGCGATGGACTACCTGGTAAAATAGAATAGCAACTCCTGCTAGGCTACGATTTGATGTTAGCAAATTGCTTCCAGAACTGAAGCCGAGTTCAACTTGTGTAGCTTTGTGTGAACATGCATCACGTCCAGAACATGTTTTTTTTTTTTGCCATATTCATTATAATCGATAAGAATAGCTGTTGACTGTTTAGTGCAGTTTTTGAGGTGTTTGTTTTGATTTTTCTTTTCGCCTAAATTGATCCGTGCTCAACTTATTTTGTGCAAGCTATTTTGACATTTCAGAAGTATATAGCATTTTTTTGCATTGAATATACGTCACAAGAAATCTAAATCCATAGATCTCGGACATCTTAGTACTACAATGTAAATATCTGCCTTTGCTACATTTAAACACAGGAAGAGATGGCCGCGACGGACGCGATGAAATGCTGCCAGGAGCAAAGGTTGGTGGGTGTTGTTATGATCAAAAATTGTTCAACGAACGAGAACTCAGACTCCTCAGCGCTCGACTGATCTGAGTCGTAAACGTAATTTAGCGCCGATACATAACTCGGTATTACTACGCTATTTACTTAGAATGTCGGAGTTGAGGTTTTGAACTTTCTAACAGCAACTACGCCAAAAAGCTGATTAAAAAAGACTTAACTCTTAGACGTTATGCAGGCAAAGCTATGTCAATACCTTAAAAGAAAAAGGCGAGGCATGCGAATGATGGCAATTTCAGAGTATTATATTCAAAGGATTGATAGGGTTCATTTACCATTTGCCTCAAACCAGTCGCAACAGTATGGTAGTCGCACGTTTAATCCGCTTGCTGTTCATGGTTCGATTGCTCAGTAGTAATTGGTGCATTTTGCTGCTCGCTCACAGCTAATGGATTTTGATCCTCATATAAGTTTATGACAGTATAACTCGTAAAGACGAGAACTCGTGCATCATGTGCGAACGACTGTGTGAAACAAGAATTCAAACACTCACACTCGTTGTTACCTTGCTTTTTTGACATGGTTTATATTTTTGTATACGTAGGGAGATAAAGGTGATATTGGCGTGCAAGGACGAGACGGAGAACCCGGTATTAAGGTTTGTAAATATTTTTACAATAATAACTTCCGAGAAGAAACCACCAATGAGATGACTTGACGAAAGTAGCTAGACGGCAAGGAGGCCTTCATCCCGCACAGAACACCATGAAAATCTCGCTAACTACCTAATTTATTACCTATCCGAAAGAATGATGATTTCTGTACTTAATGTTTGCCTTTTCTATCTGATTTTCGATACATAAAAACATCGCAACAAAATGAAATAGGCAAGAGATGCTGTCGGACCGTGTTTCCTCAGCGTTTTGTGCTTGTGCCAGTTGAACACTGAATATTTGCTTAGTTAATGCACCTAGGTAAAATAGTTGTTCTGAAATATTCATGGAATGTAAGGTATTCACATTATTTAACTTGTATAACACTTAAATATTCAAAATAAAGTAACAATATAGTAATTCGTTCCCCCTTCCTTTTATTTGTACTCATAATGTGGGATGGCGTTAGTTTCAAAAGGCCAATAAATCATTGCTAACACAATTAATTTCGCTTTCTAATTGTATTATTTAATCTGCGGATGGAGCTATCCACTTTTTTCTGTATTTCTTTAAGGGCGAGAAAGGATCTCCTGGCAACAAAGGAAGACAAGGAGAAAAAGGAGAACTAGGACCGAAAGGAGTGCCGGGAATATGTGATCCACAGGTTCTCTAAGAGAGCATTAAAAAAAATGGATATGAATTCTATTTTTCTTCAGCTTCTTTATAATTATTATTATTTTCACCCAAAATTATGTTTTGTTTCTTTGTTCGTTTGGATATACAGTTTAAATAACTTTTAAATTATCTCAGCTATGGAATTAATAGGGAAACTGTTCTTGTGCTAAAAATGCAAACTGTTTTCTTTTTGAATACCGCAGGGTTCCTCTTGTAGTAAATCAGCCTGCTGTAAAACTGGTAAGCAAAACGATATACAGCTATTTCGAGAGAGGTTGTCGGAAAAAATGTGCACGCCACAATCCCGAAAGGTAATATGGGATATGATCAATATAGAGTTCCTCACACTGCAGCTGTCGAACCTACTTTTTTTGCTTTCCTTCAGCACTCGCAGACACATATCCATGGCCCCTCTTGCCATTCTTTCAAATTTCTTTGAAGAACAGTGAACTAAAAACCACCCACAATACCTTTCGGGATTGTCGCGTGCACTTTTTCCGACAACCTTTCTAGAAAAAGCTGTATGCCATCAAAAATTCTCTACCCCTGCAGTTTTTACCACTTATTTTGCAAAAGTCAGTAAGGTTGCTGTAACGTTTCGCCTTTTGTTTTCTCCTGTGACGTAGAAAGTCGGTGTGTATTATTGACCAAGCCTGAGGTCAAAATGGCTAGATATTAGCCAACTTCGAACTCCACAAAAGCGGGGAGGAAACGAGGCCAATTAACTGAACAGGCTTGATCAATAATTGATTTATTATATAGCCAAAAACAGTTTATGGTGGGGAAAGAAAGCGGGTAAGACAGCTATACCTTGTCTGAACGCGTAGCCAATCAGAACACAGAATTCACCTGATCTTGCCCCCTCGCGGAAATAAAGAGCTGGATATATGGCCAAGATAACTGTTTTTCTTGCGTAAATTAAACTTGGCGGGAATTCCCGATAGGGTAAAGTAAGCCGAAAGTAATCCAATCAGAATACGGTATTCCGGCGGTTAATCATGCGGGTAAGTGAAACCAGCCATACTATAAATAGACTTCTCAGACAAATTTTATAATTCATAAAGAAAATACAAAGGAAATTAATGTTGAATGAGTGTTTGGAAATCAGATGAAAAACTGCTCATTTTCGCATCCTTAATTTGTCCTTCTAAAATCGTTTTGTTTGAGAAGTAATATCAAGCATTCGACACAGTGTTTCATCACCAGATGAAAAACCTCGAAATTCGACAAAAATACTCCGTTGCGCGTCGTATTTTCAACTCTCTTTTCAGTGTTTCATCTGTTGATGAACACTGCTCATGCTTGATATATTACATAAAGAAATGCAATACCAATTTCAGCACCGAAGCACACGTGCGAACTCCGCGGTATCAGTGCCTTACACACGCGCACAACCATATCGACCCCCAACAGTGGCAGCCATGGACAGCTGTTTCGTCCTCATAATAAGTGACTTATTAGCATAGCATAACCCCCTGGCGAGTGGTCTCACTTTCGATCATCGACCCCGCCGCTGGTATTGTTTACAAAGAAATGCACTAAACCGGCGTTACCTCTTTCTTTCCTCTTGACAAAGGGAGCTACGCTGGTTCCCAGTTCCACTTGTTTGAGAAAGTTCAAGATCTACCAACCCAAGGAGCTACTAGTGTGGAACATTTTACTATTAATGGGTCGCAGTTTCTTGCTTTTGCTCAGTTTGTTTACTATCTAAAGTCTAACTCCACTATCTACAAAATGGATGAATCAACAGGAAGATTTAAGTTATATCAAACCTTGCAAAATAATGGATCTTTAGACATTGAATACTTTACAATCGGGAAAAAACACTTTCTCGCTGTGGATAGTCTGGATAGCTTATACCTTGGTACAAACGATTCGCTGAACTGTTTAATTTATCAGTGGAATGGAAAGAGGTTTGTTGTCAGTCAGAAAATACCTAGAAAAACTATAAACCGTTTCACTTTTTTTACATTAAATGGTGACAAGTACCTCGCAGTATCAGACGCCGGTGTAACTTCGTGGGGTCTCAGAGAACCACATGCTTTCATTTACAAATGGACCGGTAGCCAGTTCAGCAAGTTCCAAGAAGTAGCAACTGGAGATGCTGTGGGATGTGATGCGTTTGAAATAAACTATGAAACTTTTATTGCCTTTGCAAACGCCAATGACTCCCAACAGTCGGCAGTTTTTAAGTGGTCAGGGGAACGCTTTGTCAAAGTGCAGTCCCTTCAGACTTATGGAGCCTATGATGTTAAGTCTTTTCAAATAAATAGTCACACATTCCTTGCCTTTTCCGATGGTTTTTACAACGATTCCCTTATTTTCAAGTGGAATGGCAACAAATTTAATCTGTTCCAGTCCATTCCTACTCGCACACCCTCGAGATTGTATCCATTTGTGATCAGCGGTCAAACGTTCCTGGGTGTGGCCAATCGCCATGGTGAGAATGAGAAGTTTAATACAAAATCTGTTGTGTATCAGGCCGTAGGCTCACGATTCGTCAACTACCAGGAGATTCCTACTCACGAAGCGTTTGACATGACGTCATTTGAATACAAAGGTGATACGTACTTGGCAGTGGCAAATTATGGCAGTGCGAGACGCTACGCCAACAGTTTCCTGTATAAATGGATCTAAAACCAAATATAATTGAACTTGAATCAGTTTGGATGATTTTCATAACAGCGCTGACTTTACTGAGAGCTTGCGATTACTTAAATTAAATTGTTTACACTGTATTCACATAGAAATAGAATAGAGCAACGCGGTTTAACTTTAAGACTATAGAAAAGTGGAAATCAACTCAACATAACGTCTTAAGGAAGACTGAATGTAGTATAAAAAGTTCATTTGTGCTGCTGCTTTGTAGAAGTTGTTCTCATAAAAAAAAATGATTCCATTGAGACTCTGTTATGTAGATTCATGCATCTTCAGGGCTGAAAAGAAACACTACTCCTATATATCCACCCTGGAAACTGAGCCCCCTCCATAAAAAAAAAACTGACAGAGCTACCTTTTCCAACTATTGGTATATACATTTTTCGTTTATAACAGTTGACAGGAGCGGCTCCTGCAGTTGAAAAAACTAGCGTACCATGAGCACCAGCGATGAATTTTTTGAATTTGAAACCCCCCTTCAATTCCAGGCTCAAAGTTATTGGTTTCATTTGAAGAATGTCCTGGTTGCAGCTAGTCTGCTATACAGCCGCCGTATTTAGTGTCGTCACGCAACGCTCCTCCCCACTAACGGCTGCTGAAAATCGAACCACATTCCTTTCCCGCGATTAGCCAATTAGAATTCAGCTCCCATTTTCTGGAAGATGTTCGCGCCACGATTGCGGTATGGTGAGTCCTCCAATCACAGCTTTGCTTTTATCGTTGTGATGTTTATAATAATGACGATGGTGGTAGTGATGATGATGCTGATGATGGTGGTAGTGCTAGTTGTAATGGTGACAGTGATGACGGTAGTGATGGAAGTGGTTGGGCAAATACATAATAAGATTGACGTAAGGGAGGTCTTGTGAGCCCGCGAGACTGAGCAAACCCCACAAACCCTTGTTTCACTAAAACCGCTGAATACAAAACCTCCCCTTGGTCGCTTAGGTCGATTTTACATTGTCACAAGCAAGTGGCTGTGGTAGCGAAATGATGATGATGATTAGGGCGGTTCGGATTGTAATGGTGATAATAACGACGTTGGTGGTCGTGATGTCTTTAGTTGTCGCGGTGGTTGTCTTGGTGATGATAAGGATGTGGTTATAAAGTACCCGGGGTATCAAATGGAACGGAATCGTTTTACCCAAACTGAATCTAGGGTGTATGTATGCCGTCATGAGGACAATCAATGATAATGATGAGAACGGTTGTAGTGGTGGTCGCGATAAAGATGATGATGATGATGATGATGATGATGATGATGATGATGATGATGAAGATAGTGGTGAATCGACACACTCACTCAAACTGAACAAAGGCAAACCATAAAGTTTTATTTTGTTCATTCGTCATCGAAAGAAATCGAAGAAGGTTTTTTTCGTGAGTGTCATTTCCGAACAGTTGGATGACTCAGTTAGGCTGTTGTCGCAATTTTTCACATTCTCTCACATAAAGAAGATTAAAATCGTTTGAGTCGTCACTGTCTTTGTGAACCCCGCAAGAGTTTGTCTCTTTAATTTAGACGATGTACATTTGGCTGTAAATTCGAAACCTGAATATAGTTTAATCTTTTGCGGAAATACCTGTAAGATAACCCATTCGCCCCCAGAATTTTTGCCGAAAAAATTCTTCTTTCTGAAAGCAGGTGGAGGAGGCTGCAAATGAAAACTGATCAAAATATAATTTGAAATGAAGGAAACAAACTTAGACAACAGCTCTTGCGTACTATGCTGTGCTTTGTTCTTTTTTTTCTCTCCTACTCATTTCACTGAAGTTTACACTTATTTCCAGATGTTTACGCCGTTATTTAGATTCCAGCATTTTGTGCTTAAGACGCCGTTAGGGAAACCCATTAGGGGAAATTATAGCCTTCTTTGGAAGTGTCGGTGGCCTTTTAACGCGCCACATCAAAGGACGCCGTCACGCGTTTGACTGCTTTGACTATGCCTACATGCCAAGATAAAGATAATAACAAACAATAGTATACGAAGCTGAGCACTTAACCCTTCCCTTTGTGGCTCACGTATGTTTCTTGGTAAGCCTGAGGGTATGACGTTAAAGAGGCTGTTTACATTGCATGGAAAAATGCAGTTGGCAAAGCTTCCGGGCGAGCGGGGGCTACTCAACAAAGTTTTATACGGGGTGGCTCTACTCTGATGTCCAACGCCTTATCTTTTTACGTACTATTTTTGAGAGAAAAGGTATCCTTCTCGTATACCTTCTATTGACAAATGTTACCCCTTTCACATACTTGGTGCTGCATCCCTTTTAACTGCTGTAAATACACTGTCTTTTTCATACGAGCAAATCACTTAACCACGAAGTTTTTTTGACCTTTTCACAGCAATAAAATGAGTCTGTAATCCCTACCCTGTTATATACCTCACGCCTGGCGCTTGAAAAAGGTAATCCTCTCGGCGGAGCCATCATAGTGAGTACCCCCTCGGCTAAAGCCTTGATTTGCGGCAATTTTAGTGATAAGACTTCGATTAAGCTGCTTTTAAAACAGGGTACAAAGGGTATCTGAAGCTACGTGCTTTATGATCACCTAATCAGGAGTTCAATGTGACCATCTGTTGGGCGATTCTCTTACTCATTAATTAAGTATTATCATTGTCTGACAGAGTGCCAAGAGTATCCTCTGCTACGTGCTTTATGATAACCTAATCACTTGTTTACGGAGGCCACGCCTATCAAACATTACTGGGATTATACATGTTCCAAGATCATCTTGGAAGCGAGCCACACTAAGCTAGCTACTAAGCTAACTCGTTCAACTTTTACCAAAGTACCCAAACAGGAGAATGATTCGTTTGCCCTCTCTGGTTACTTTAGCCATTTTGCTTGCTTATTCCTTTGGAACGGCACAAAAACAATCAGCTCAACAGGTATTGCTTTGAACATAATAACAGTTACAATTTGAGAACGTTTTGTTTTCCATTGCAAATTCTAGCTTCAGCTCCAACTTTGCCGATGTACACGACATCGGTAAAGGTTAAGGTGAAATCAAACCTTCTGTCTTCCAAATGATGCCATGAATTTACGTGTAGTGCCAATTGTTTGATATAATCTCGCGAGATTCTTCATTTGTTGATATTTTTCAAGTCCATTCCTGATTGTAATTATAACACAGAACTGAGACCTTTGTCATTCCTACGCACTTTCTTTATTTCGTCTTTTTCTTTGGCAGCCGACCGATGGGTCACCAGCAAAGGAAAGCAGCTGCCAAACTCTACAACAACATACTTGCTGTAAAGATGGTAAGAGACCAATTTAACTGATTTTCCTTTAACACCTTACTCGAAGACTCCATTCTGAAGCTTCAAAATTTTAATCAGTACAACGATGAAGAAAAATCACAAATTTTACATTTCTTGTTTTGTTTCTTGACCGCCTATCAGGAAAAGACGGCAAAGATGGCAGAAACGGTGAGTTGAAATAAGGACAGATCACACGTTCTTAAGTTATAACGATCTAATTCATGGAAATTTACAGAGGGGTTTGGTCCAAGTATGCTGTTTATTTGTCTGCATGCGTTTGTAGATCATGAGAGTACCAGTGTCACAGCCAGTTGTTCTTTATATGGGTTTCGAAAATAAAAGAGTCTCGCACAGATCCTTGGGAAGTGAAACGAGCGCTTCACCTTGAAACACGAATAGATTTATTATAAGGGTTCTTACCCAGTCCCCACCAAATAAAGTACGGTAATGTACGACTTCTAAAATCCAATTTCCGTTTTCCTTAACTTCTTTGCCTTTACTCAATTCATCTTTTTTTTTCTGTACATACAGGAAAAGATGGGCGCGATGGGTTACATGGTAGAGTATATTATTAAGTGATAGTATTGTCCTAATGCTTTAAGAAATCACGATTAGGTCTCATAGTTTGTCCCTGCTCAGCAAACATGTGATAAATAATAATATAGTATGTAGAATGATATGTGTGGAGAGAAAAACACAGAAAAATTTTGAGTTCCAGAGGAGAATTAAACCCATAAAATTCCACACTAGTTGGAGGCTCCAACTACTGCGTTACTGAGGAGATCATTTGTGGGCTGACATAGCGACCGCGTCGCGCAATCATATCATTTCAAATTATAACAGTTATTTGATAGAACAGTATAAAATGAATTTCAAATATTAAATTATATTTAGTAATACGTAAAAAAGTGAATTATTTGAACTCAGTAGTCATTTCATAAGTAGGTGGAATATGATCGTTCGGGTGTGAGCACAAGTGTACTCCTGAATAGGACTTTAATTGACAGTTACTGACGTTCCGGCAACCTGCGCGGTTCTTGTGTAAGAGTCAAGTACTCTTTCTCTTTTGTCTGGTATCATGCAAACTTTTAAACAGCTCACTCACAAGGACAACAACAAGACTGGTAGTATCCAAGTGAAAAAACGCAAGGGTGGGCCTTACCCTAGATCCAGAGGTCCGTTCTCGAAATACCTAGGATCATGCACCTGATAGGATGAAATAACCCGTGCGCATGGGACTTTCAAGAATTAGGAAAGACAAAAAAAATCGGCTGGCACCCAGGGTAAGTGGGCATGCGCTTAGGGTCGCGCTGGATCTTGATCCATTATATTCTTACGTTTTTTTGTTTCGCTTTGTTTTAAGACTAAAAACCGAAAAAAAAATACTGAAACGAACAGATACGGAAATTATGAAAAACAAGACGACATTAGTCTTTGATCTCTAATGTTACGCAGGTAACAGCGCGGTAATGATCCTCAGAGTTACGGTTACTCAGAAACATGGAATATTTTGAGGTCAAAAAGAAGTTGAATTTTAATTTGTCAAGAGGAAGGGTTTGTCCGCCTGGATTTCAACCTTTCTCAATCTTCTTTCTTCATCTTTGTTACTATATTTAGATTTCACGCTGGCAACAGCCCTATCAGGACTCTTGACTCCTATTTTTAAGTTTACTGTGCTTATTTAGCATTATTTTTTTTAACACAGGGAAAGATGGTCGTGACGAACGTGATGGGACAAATGGAGCGAAGGTTATTAAGCCATTGTTATCAATGTGGCCCGAATGTGCATCATAGAAGCGCACTAATTTGCCTCAGTGAGTAACATACCACGTTCTCGTTTTATTTTTCCAGGGTGAAAAAGGTGAATCAGGCATTCAAGGAAGAGATGAAAAGGTTTGCAAATTACCCCTTGCTATAATTACTGAGAAAAATATCATAAAAATATCTTTGACTCTGAAGATGACTACCGCACAGGTTGTCGAAACGTCAGTCACTGTCAACAACAACAGTCCTATTCAGGACTACGTTCAACCGAACGATCAAACTCAACCTACTTTTGAAATGACTCCTGGGTTCAAACCTTTCACAAAAATATCTTGATGGGGTGGGTAGACAAGTAAGTGAGATTGCATGAAAAGTTAAAAAAAAAATTAGAACTGGCAGGGTAAGAGAATAGAATGCTTTAAAGATTTTAAAATGTTTTACAAAGAACGAACGAATTCGAACAAAAGATGTGGAATTCTAAGCTTTGAACTAAGCTATTGCTTTCTGCTGTTCCCTTTTAGCTGCCTTTCTATTTCAACGCAAACTGTTCTCTTATGTAACACCCAAATGAGCGAGTCATCTATAAGTAATTAATTCTGATTTGTTAAAAGGGCGAGAAAGGATCTCCTGGAGACAAAGGAGAACAGGGACCCAAAGGAGATCCGGGAATATGTGACACGCAGGTATTGAGATAGACTGGGGAGAAGAAAGTCTTTTTAATAAGTTTTCCCTACAGAGCAGTTCATAATAAGAGCAGTAAAGTCGAACCCCGCTCATTACGGACAGGCATTGATTGAGAAACCTCAATGATTTGGTTTTTTTTTTCCGGTTTTCGTTTCGCACAAATTAAACTGAATCGCAGCCTCACCATAAATTTAACCAACGTCAGAGCTAAAATCGATGGCCAATCGATCAAAATGAAGAGAGTGACTCATGATGAACCACGCCCTTCGTGAGAACTGTTGGATATTCTTTAGGCCTTATTATTGCGCACGACCTATGTGTTTTGGGTCACGTGATCACTACATCACCAAAATACACAATGAAAAATATGAGCAAAACCGCAGATCAACTATCACCACTCCCTTTTGTATTTGAAATTCGCTTCTATTTATGAACTCTTGTACTAATAAATGGAATGAAACCTTGGTTAAATTTGTATCTAATTTTCTTGTTCGAGCCCTCCTTTATTTTTTAGGTTTAATTAGAGAAAAGATTTTATAATGGACCAATCTCATTCCAGCTACCTATACTAGCCGATTTCTTGTGCATAACATATAAATGACCTCCTCTAAGCTCGCTGTAGATGGCAAGGCCTCCACTAGCCTGAGTATCACGCGTTTCTGGGAGAAAAGGGGAAAGAAACCCCTCCCCCCTCCCCCATCTAAAATCTCCTCTCCCCTAACCCCTTAGGAAGGCCTGATACTCAGGCTAGGCCTCCACTTAAGATACAGACAGTTCAAATAGAAATTGCTTTTCCACGTGTCTTTTTTTTTTTTTTACAAAGAATACGATGCTGGTTTTCACTTCTTTGAGAAAGTTGAAGATCTACCAACCCGAGGAGCTTCTGGTGTCGAACATTTTTTCATCAACGGGACTCTGTTTCTCGCTTTTGCCAACTACTATGGGGACATCCGCAAGTACAAGACGAGTTCCACGATCTACAGGATGGACGAATCAACTGGAAGATTAACTTCGTATCAAACCTTGCAAACAAGTGGAGCTTTTAACATTGAATACTTTACGATCTCTAATGAACATTTCCTTGCCGTGGCCAATCATTACGCCGATGGAACTCGCCTGAGAGATTCCATAATTTACAAGTGGAATGGAAAGCTGTTTGTCGTCGTTCAGAAAATACCTACAAAAGGAGCAAGTCACTTTACATTTTTCACAATAAATGATAACAAATACATTGCAGTGACAAATTACTATGATGGTAGTACCCATTCCATAAAATCAGTCATCTACAAATGGAGTGGCAGCCAGTTTAACAAATTTCAGGAGATAGCAACAGAAGGTGCAATGGGTAGTGCGGTGTTTATAATGAACAATAACACTTTCATCGCGTTTGCAAACCATTATAACTCGCAAAAGAAATATTCTGTTCATTCCACTGTTTTAAAGTGGTCAGGAGGACACTTTGTCAAACTACAATCTCTTCAGACTTATGGAGCATGGGATGTGAAATCCTTTAAAATCAACGGTCACACATTCCTTGCCTTTGCCAACTACAAATCTGGAAGTAAATTCAATACCGACTCCTTCATTTTCAAGTGGAATGGCAACAAATTTGATTTGTTCCAGTCCATTCCTACACGTGGAGCCCGAGCATTGTATCCATTTGTGATCAGCGGTCAAACGTTTTTGGGTGTGGCCAATTATTATGGTGACAGCCAGAGGCTCAATACAAAGTCCGTTGTGTACCAGGCCTCCGGCTCGCGGTTCGTCATCTACCAGGATATTCCAACTCAGGGAGCATCTGACATGACTTCATTTTAGTACAAAGGTGATACGTACCTGGCAGTGTCACGTTATTACAACGGTCAGAAATACAACACCAACAGCGCTTTGTACAAATGGATGTAGAGCGATAATTACACGAACTAGATCCGAGAAGTGAAAGATCTAATTCATACCTATATGGGTAAAATAATCGGCTGACTTTTAAATACTGGCGAATAAGTAGTTTTTGATAAGCTTTAAAATATATATGATACGTTGAAGCACAATATAAATTTATCTAATTTTTAATTTGATTCAAAGAGCTATGGCTTAATCTACCGCGAGGCGCAAACGTTTGCGGGAGCAATATTGCAGAGGGCTATTTTGTTTTTTCGAGACTGCTTTCTCAAGTTTTTGCGAATTTTTAGCAAGTTCCATACAACATTTTTGTCAGTCTTCATAATTAAGTACATATGCAATCGAACAATTGAATTTGCCATTAGTCTATTGCATTTATCCCATCTTGCGTGGTTTAATGCTTTCTGCCAAGTTATATTTTTTCCGACCATTTAGTAAATACTTGTGGAACATTTCTCTGCGGATCTTGATTAAACTCCAAAAATAAGTGCCACGCGGTACGTTGAGGTGGAGTGCCAAAGGCATCATTTTTCTGCCAGACACAAAGTAGAAAACGAACAATGTTTTAGTGCCGTTTAAGATTTCCTGGTGTCGTTGGGATAAGAGCTATCATAGAAAAACAAGACGTCTTTTAAAAACTTTTTAAAACTATTTTTATTACTGTTTTGTGATTGATCAAGACTGGTTTCTTAATTTTCGCCATCGAATTTCAGCAACTTCCATCATACAACAATTTTGAGTTACTCAGTAATTTGAGTGCAAATGCAATCAAACACAGGTGAAATGTGAAATACTTGATAATTACAGCAAGTCTATTCTAAATCACTATATCGCATTTACATCTTACATTTAAGTGGTTTGATGCTCCCACAGCTGAATGACCCTGAATGTTTAGATATTTCTATAAGAAACATTTTCTGCGGATCGTGAATGAAACCGAAATAATTTAGTACCACGTGCAAACTTTTACAAGGACTGCCAAAGGCTTCTACAATTTGCCTACAATATAGAAGACAAAATACGTTTAGTACCGTTTCAGATTTTGTGGTGTGGTTGGGAGAGTGCCATTATATTTTTACAAGAAAAGAACTTTTAAAATCTTTGTAGGAATAATAATAATTCTAATAATAATTTTTCATTTAGCTCATGGTGAAATTACATTTTTTTGGACTTTACATAACTGAAATTCGTGCTAAGTTATAACTTTATAATTTAAGAGAATTAAAAGTGCGAGCTAGAAGCTAAATAAACTGTTAGGTTTTCTAGTTAGCTCCCCATCCAATTTAAGTCGGTATGTAAGCAGGTGAAAAAGAAAAAAAGAAATAGATAAATGAATTGATAATTTAAATTAAACTAATAAATAATTGCGTAACTGAATAACAGGAGTTAGGTCCTAAGACCTACTGCTCTAAGACTACATTAGACGCCATAATCGGTAATTTTAGCGTCAGTGGCGGAGCGACAAAAAACGTGGCCCTCCGCCCCCATTATGACATATGCTAATCCCAGGCCATTTATCAAACAATGTTAGTCATTATTATAGTACATATTTGCTTTGATGTACTTTAGTTATAAAATTAATTTGATTGCAAAGATAATATTTTCCCATCGTGGGTTACACATAAAGATGAAGAGATAGCAGACTAGAGTCAGTGCCATCGACAATTTTTCAAATCATCACGCACAAGTGGCCACCTCACCAACTTTACCACACGTACCTTCTGCGAAATTTGCTGTAATCTCTGGACATTTTTTCGCGGCAACCTTTTATTTACAACTTACAGTCTTGAGGAGTAAGGATGAAAAATGTTCCGCCTAATTTTCGTGTTGACTTTGGGGATCGTTCTTGGCCAGTTCCCAAAGACTTCCCTAAAAACACAAGAGAATAATTCAACTGCGGACCAGGTAATCTATGAATCAAGTTACAAGTGATGATTGTTCTTCTGTAATACCAGCAATCCTCTCCTCAAAGTTTTAGAATCGTTGTACCGCAGCCGTGATTTGAAATAGATGAATTGAATTGCAATGGCACACTCTGTCTCAAGCAACGAGATGTTCTTGCTGGTTAATCAGTATCTTATTAATGAAAGTGCTGCCAATCAGCAGGAGCTTTTGTAGTTCATAAAAGACACTCACTGTGACATGCTAAATGTTTAATAAAAGAACAGTTAAATTTTCAAGGCTTTTTTCTTTGGAGGCCATTTTGCCAACGTTCGATCGAAGCTAAAAGATAAGGATCGATATTCAGTGATTTAAGTTGAAAGCTGCATATAAACCCGTCCTACATTCTACACCCGCGATCATACAATAAATTCAGGTCGAGGCTTGGATGGACAATTTTTTTAGAGATATCATTGTATTTTGTCAATCTATCTCTCGAGTGGGTGCCTTTGTTCTCAGGAATGCGAGAAGGCCTATACCCAGTGCAGATCGAACTTGTATTCTTCCTATCTGGTTCTAGAAAACGCCATAGCCTGAGAAAAGCAATAAGCTTCTACGCCATAAACACGGAGTCGACTTAAACGGAGAAGATGGTTTCCTTTGATCCTCTTTACATTAGATTTAGTTGTTACTATAGCTATTAATTAGATATATACTTATATAAAGAAAGAAAGAAGATTAAAACGTAATTCGGCGCACATAGGTAACCATTACTACGACATTTACTAGGAGAATTGATTCTGGAACGCAGGCTACACTTCAACAGCAGACTCTCAATTTCACTTACGGTACTTGCAAGGTGTTACTTCTTACATCGCCTCAAGTAAGGGTCAATCCAGATTCCGGAGTCCGGGAAATTTTTGCTTATGGAGTCTGGAATCCTGGGTTTTGGAATCCACAATACAGCTCAAAGAATCCGGAATCCCACTAACGATTGGAATCCACAATTCAAGTTCTACTGAGAAATACTGGAATCCAGTACCCAGAATCCGGAATCCACAGCGTGGAATCCAGATTCTAAGAATATCCTGGATTCCTTTTCATGGGGCGCTTTTACATCATGATACCTGATCTAAAAAACAGTGAGCTCTTGAATGTTATATAGGAGTAAAGCTATATAAATAAGATTAAAAGTTATCGTTTCGAGGCTTGCAAATGATATTTAAGTTGAAATTTTATATGGAAGAGAAAACTAAGTATGACAGATGTTGTTCATTGTGGTTTCAGGGTGTATGATAGGATACGTTAATTTATCGTTTGTCTAACGTTAGTCACTCAAGAAAGTTTTTATTGATCGCGTCTAGTTGACCACTTAGTGTTCGGCGGTATTCATCAGGCGATGGTCAAGATTGCCTGTTTTGAGGAATTTTAGTAGCATCGAGGTCGAATGCGAAATTGTAACTGATTGTTCCCTTGTTCCTTGGTTTCCCTGTTCCCTTGTTTCCTTATTCCCCTGTTTTCCTGTTCTCCTGTTCCCCTGTTCCCGCTTGTTCCCCCTGTGCTCTTGTTCCTCTGTTCCCCCTTGTTCCACCTATTCCTCATTTTTCTCGGTTCCCCTTGTTGCCCTTGTTCTCCTGTTCCGCTTGTTCCCCTTTATCCCCTTGTTCGCCCTGTACTCTTGTCTCTCTTGAAGAGAGAGTGAAGTGAAGAGAGTCGCGAATGAGAGGACAACGGACGTGCCCTCTTACAATACATTTTTAACATATAAATAGTAAGCTCGAACGTCTCTTGTTCCCCTGTTCTCCCTTGTTCCAACTGTTCCTCTTTTTCTCGATTCCTCTCTGTTTCCCCTGTTCCCCTTGTCCCCCTTTATCCCCTGTTCCCCCCTGTTCCCCTTGTTCCCCTGTTCCCACATACTTAATTTAGAACGCTGTATTCCTTTTAACTGCTGTAAATACACTGTCTTTTAAAAATGAATAAATCACTAAACCACGAACTTTTCGTGACCTTTCAAAAGCCATAAAATGAGTCTGTAATCTCTACACTTTTATATACCTGACGCCTGAAAAAGGTACCCCTTTCGGGCGGAGCCATTATAGGGGGTACCCTCTGGGGCAAAGCTTTGATTTGCGGTAATTTCAGTGATAAGACTTCCTTTAGGTGCTATTTAAAGAGGGTGCAAAGGTTATCTGAAGCTAAGTGCTTTATGATCACCTAACAAGGAGTTCAATGTGACTATCTGTTGGGCCATTCTACCTCTCACTCGTCAATTAAGTATTATCAATGTCAGTCAGAGTGCTAAGAGTATCCTCTGCTACGTGCTTTATGATAACCTAATCACTTGTTTACGGAGGCCACGCCTATCAAACATTCTTGGGATTATACATGTTCCAAGATCATCTTGGAGGCGAGCCACACTAAGCTAGCTACTGAGCTAACTCGTTCAACTTTTACCAAAGTACCCAAACAGGAGAATGATTCGTTTGCCCTCTCTGGTTACTTTAGCCATTTTGCTTGCTTATTCCTTTGGAACGGCACAAAAACAATCAGCTCAACAGGTATTGCTTTGAACATAATAACAGTTGCAATTTGAGAACGTTTTATTTTCCATTGCAAATTCTACCTTCAGCTCCAACTTGTACACGACATCGGTAAAGGTTAAGGCGAAATCAAACGTTCTGTCTTCCAAATGATGCCATGAATTTACGTGTAGTGCCAATTGTTTGATATAATCTCGCGAGATTCTTCATTTGTTGATATTTTTCAAGTCCATTCCTGATTGTAATTATAAAACAGAACAGAGACCCTTTGTCATTCCGACGCACTTTCTTTATTTCGTCTTTTTCTTTGGCAGCCGACCGATGGGTCACCAGCAAACGAAAGCAGCTGCCAAACTCTGCAACAACATACTTGCTGTAAAGATGGTAGGAGACAAATTTAACTGATTTTCAATTAACACCTTACTCGAAGACTCCATTCTGAAGCTTCAAAATTTTAATCAGTACAACGATGAAGAAAAATCACAAATTTTACGTTTCTTGTTTTGTTTCTTGACCGCCTATCAGGAAAAGACGGCAAAGATGGCAGGAACGGTAAGTTGACATAAGGACAGATCACACGTTCTTAAGTTATAACAATCTAATTCATGGAATTTACAGAGGGGTTTGGTCCAGGTATGCTGTCTATTTGTCTGCATGCGTTTGTAGATCATGAGAGTACCAGAGTCACAGCCAGTTGTTCTTTATATGGGTTGCGGAAATAAAAGAGTCTCGCACAGATCCTTGGGAAGTGAAACGAAGTGCCTTCCCATAAGTCTGTCGCGCTTCACCTTGAAACACGAATAGATTTATTATACCCAGTCCCCACGAAATATAATACGGTAATGTACGACTTCTAAAATCCCATTTTCGTTTTCCTTAACTTCTTTGACTTTACTCAATTCATCTTTTTTTTCTGGTCATACAGGAAAAGACGGGCGCGATGGGTTACATGGTAGAGTATATTATTAAGTGATAGTTTTGCTCTATGCTTTAGGAAATCACGATTAGGTCTCATAGTCTGTCCCTGCTCAGCAAACATACGATAAATAATAATATAGTAAATAGAATGATATGTGTGGAGAGAAAAACACAGAAAAATTCTAAGTTCCAGAGGAGAATTAAACCCATAACATTCCACACTAGTTGGAGGCTCCAACTACTGCGTTACTGAGCAGATCATTTGTGGGCTGACATACCGCCGCGTAGCGCAATCATATCATTTCAAATGATAAAAGTTATTTGATAGAACAGTATAAAATGAATTTCAAATATTGAACTATATTTAGTAATACGTTAAACAGTGAATTATTTGAACCCAGTAGTCATTTCATAAGTAGGTGGAATATGATCGTTTGGTTGTGAGAACAAGTGTAGTCCTGAATAGGACTTTAATTGACAGTTACTGACGTTCCGGCAACCTGCGCGGTTCTCGTGTAAGAGTCAAGTACTCTTTACCTTTTGTCTCGTATCATGCAAAATTTTAAACAGCTCACTCTCAAGGACAACAACAAGACTGGTAGTCTCCAAGTGAGACAACGATGGAGTGGGCCTTATCCTAGGTAAGAATTAGGAAAGCAAAAAAAAAACGGCTGGTTGGCTGCCACCCAGGGTAGGTGCGCATGCCCCTAGGGTCGCCCTGGATCATGATCCATTATATTCTTATGTTTCTTTGTTTTGCTTTGTTTTTAGACTAGAACTTGACTAAAACTTTAATTTCTAAACTGATTATCCACAAAGAGGATTTTCCATCAAGCCAAGAATGAATCGCATTTTTATTTCAAGTCAGACATAATACACCAGTATAGTAAGAAAGACCAAACTTTTCATAGATAGAAAGCCGGGCATTTGAATTTTTTTTTAGCATAATGGAACTAAAAACCGAAAAAAAAATACGGAAACGAACAGATACGGAAAATATGAAAAACAAGACGACATTAGTGTTTGATCTCTAATGTTACGCAGTTTGACGTAGATTATTTTTCGGCCCAGAGGTAACGGCGCGGTAATGATCCTCAGAGTTACAGTTCTTCAGAAACATGGAATATTTTGAGGTCAAAAAGAAGTTGAATTTTTTTTGTCAAGAGGAAGGGTTTGTCCGCCTGGATTTAACCTTTCTCAATCTTCTTTCTTCATCTTTGTTACTATATTTAGATTTCACGCTGGCAACAGCCCTATCAGGACTCCTGACTCCTATTTTTAAGTTTACTATGCTTATTTAGCATTATTTTTTTAACACAGGGAAAGATGGTCGTGACGGACGTGATGGGACAAATGGAGCGAAGGTTATTAAGCCATTGTTATCAATGTGGCCCGAATGTGTATCATAGAAGCGACCTATACTAATTTGCCTCAGTAACATACCACGTTCTCGTTTTATTTTTCCAGGGTGAAAAAGGTGAATCAGGCATTCAAGGAAGAGATGAAAAGGTTTGCAAATTACCCCTTGCTATAATTACTGAGAAAAATATCATAAAAATATCTTTGACTCTGAAGATGACTACCGCACAGGTTGTCGAAACGTCAGTCTCTGTCAACAACAACATTCCTATTCAGGACTACTTTCAACCGAACGATCAAACTCAACCTACTTTTGAAATGACTCCTGGGTTCAAACCTTTCACAAAAATATCTTGATGGGGTGAGTAGACAAGTAAGTGAGATTGCATGAAAAGTTCAAAAAAAAAAATTAGAACTGGCAGGATAAGAGAATAGAATGCTTTAAGGATTTTAAAATGTTTTACAAAGAACGAACGAATTCGAACAAAAGATGTGGAATTCTAAGCTTTGAACTAAGCTATTGCTTTCTGCTGTTCCCTTTTAGCTGCCTTTCTATTTCAATGCAAACTGTTCTCTTATGTAACACTCAAATGAACAAGTCATCTATAAGTAATTAATTTTGATTTGTTAAAAGGGCGAGAAAGGATCTCCTGGAGACAAAGGAGAACAGGGACCGAAAGGAGTGCCGGGAATATGTGACACGCAGGTATTGAGATAGACTGGGATGAGAAAAGTCTTTTTAATAAGTTTTCCCTACAGAGCAGTTCATAATAAGGGCAGTAAAGTCAAACCCCGCTCATTACAGACAGGCATTAATGCAGACAATGAATACTTTTTTTGAGATAATTACTATAGAAAGTGAACCTCGTTTATTCGAACGCTCTTTTGGTATTAAGATGTACGATTCGTGACGGTATAGCCCTGGTGGACTCCCATATTAAGAGAAGGGAATTATTCTTCGTCTTTATATGTGTGTAAATTGGAAATTTTAGTCATACTTGTACTCAATTCAAAATAATGAATTGTGTGCGATTCCTCTTAACATCTTTCATCACAGGGCAAGTTTGCTTCCAGTACAACAGCCAGTTGTAAAACTGGTAAGTAACTTCATTTACACTAAGTGGATCCTTTTACACATTACACTTGCAGTCTGTCCTATAACTATTGTTTAAAATTATTACCTCTGAATCCTAAGCTACTTATTTCTAGCTAACAGGTGTCGTACTGTGCCAGTCCTCCTTTATTTTTAGGTTTAATTAGACAAAAGATTTTATTTATTAGTCTTATTCCAACTACCTATACTAGTCTATTTCATGGACATAACATATAAATGACCTTCCAACTCGCTGTAGACAGCAAGGCCTGTACTTAACAAAAAGGCAATTCAAATAGAAATTGCTTTTTCCACTCGTCTTTCTCTCTCTTTTTTTTTAACAAAGAATGCGACGTTGGTTTCCACTTCTTTGAGAAAGTTCAAGATCTACCAACCCGAGGAGCTTTTGGTGTCGAACATTTCTTCATCAACGGGACTTTGTTTCTCGCTTTTGCTAACTACTATGGGGACATCCGCAAGTACAAAACAAGCTCCATGATATACAAGATGGACGAATCAACCAGAAGATTAACTTTGTATCAAACCTTACAACCAAGTGGAGCTTACGACATTGAATACTTCACGATCTCTAATGAACATTTCCTTGCCGAGGCCAATTATTACGAGGGAAGTCACCTGAAAGATTCCATAATTTACAAGTGGAATGGAAAGCTGTTTGTCGTCGTTCAGAAAATACCTACAAAAGGAGCAAGTCACTTTACATTTTTCACAATAAATGGTAACAAATACATTGCAGTGACAAATTACGAAGATGGTAGCACCCGTTCCATAAAATCAGTCATCTACGAATGGAGTGGCAATCAGTTTAGCAAGTTTCAGGAGATAGCAACAGAAGGTGCGAGAGCATGTGAGGTGTTTATAATTAACAATAACACTTTCATCGCGTTTGCAAACCATTATAACTCGCAAAAGAAATATTCTGTTCATTCCACTGTTTTAAAGTGGTCAGGAGGACACTTTGTCAAGCTACAATCTCTTCCGACTTTTGGGGCATGGGATGTGAAATCCTTTCAAATCAATGGTCACACATTCCTTGCCTTTGCCAACTACTACTCTGGAAGTAAATACAATACCGACTCCTTCATTTTCAAGTGGAATGGCAACAAATTTGATTTGTTCCAGTCCATTCCTACTCGCGGAGCCCGAGCATTGCATCCATTTGTGATCAGCGGTCAAACGTTTTTGGGTGTGGCCAATCACCATGGTGACAGTCAGAAATACAATACAAAGTCCGTTGTGTACCAAGCCTCCGGTTCGCAGTTCGTCATCTACCAGGATATTCCAACTCAGGGAGCATCTGACATGACTTCATTTGAGTACAAAGGTGATAAGTACCTGGCAGTGGCAAGTTATTACAACGGTCAGAAATACAACACCAACAGCGCTTTGTACAAATGGATGTAGAGCGATAATTACACTTTATGGGTAAAATAATCTGCTGACTTTTAAATATTGGCGAATAAGTAGTTTTTGATAAGCTTTAAAATATATATGAGACGTTGAGGCACAATATAAATTTATCTAATTTTTAATTTGATTCAAAGAGCTATGGCTTAATCTACCTCGAGGCATAACGTTTGCGGGAGTTTAATATTGCAGAGGCTATTTTGTTTTTAGAGACTGCTTTCTAATTTTTTTTTGTTTTTAGCAAGTTCCATACAACGTTTTGGCAATCGAATAATTGAATTTGCTATTAGTCTATTACATTTATTTTACATCTTGCTTGGTTTAATGCTTCCTCTCAAGTTATTTTTTCGACCATTTAGTAAATACTTCTGGAACATTTCTCTGCGGATCTTAGTTAACTCCCAAAATATTAGTGTCACGCGGTACGTTTAAGTGGAGTGCCAAAGGCATCGTCATTCTGCCAATGTAGAAAACGAAAAATGTTTTAGTACCGTTTAAGATTTCCTGGTGTCCTTGAGATAAGGGCTATCATTATAGAAAAACTAGACTTTTAAAAACTTCTTAAACTGTTTTTATTACTGTTTTACTATTAGTAGAGATAGAGGATATTACATGGCCGCGCGGGGATACGAATTTTATCTTCGAGTGCTGAAAGCACGAGAATATAAAACTCCCATCCCCAAGCGGCCATGTAATGTTCTGTTTATTTTATAGATACTGATGAAATTGCTACATAAAACACAACTTTTTTAAAAAAATTCATTTTCGAAACAGCAAAATAGTGCACTATCGCAAAATGCCTGTCGCAAAAATGTTATGAAACTCGGATATAAAGTTATAAAGGAGAAATAAAGACAATAATATTTAGTAACCCGAGCGGGAAGCTCTCTTGTAATTGGCTAATCATGTTAGTAACCATGGCGACACCAATATCCTCACACGTGAAAGATAAAAATAGTATCTTCACTGCCCGCGATTTAGTAAAAGGAAAAATCCTGGTATTTCATAAGTATCTACAAAATAAACCGGTTTCTTAACTTAGTTTTCGCCATTTTCAGCAAGTTCCATCATACAGCAATTTTGAGTTACTCAGTTTATTTGAGTACAAATGCAATCAAACACAGGTAAAGTGTCAAACACTTCATAATTACAGCGAGTGTATTTTAAATCGCTATATCGCATTTACATCTTACAGTTTAAGTAGTCTGACAGCTGAATGAATTTCTCTAAGAAACATTTTCTGCGGATCGTAAATAAAACCGAAATAATTTATTGCCACGTGCAAACTTTTACAGGGACTGCCAAAGGCATCTATAATTTGCCTACAATATAGAAAACGAAATAGGTTTAGTACCGTTTCATGATTTTGTGGCGTGCTTGGGAGAGTGCCATCATAATTTTACAACCAAACAGCTTTTAAAACCTTTGGCTATTTATCAATTCCTTCAAGCTTTTGCTCGTTCAGGAGAATAGCTGAATCATTATCATAGTGCATGCTTTGATGAAATTCAACTGATTTCATCTTTAGTTCGAAATTAATTTGATTTCAAAGATATTATTTTCCCATCATGCCATCATGGATTAGACATATAGATGAATAGACAGCAGACTAGAGTCAATGCTTAAGCCTCTTCGACAGCTTTCCCTGACTTATCAACAATTTTTCAAATCAGCACACACAACTGGCACCTCACCAACTTTACCACACCTTCAGGGCGGTGCGAAATTTGGTATTATTATCTCCGGACATTTTTCGTAAGCTTTTATTCTGATCACAGCCTGTTGCAGTCTTGAGGAGCAAGGGTAAAAAATGTTCCGCCTAATCTTCGTGTTGACTTTAGGATTGTTCTTGGCCAGTTCCCTTAAAACATCAGAGAATAATTCAACTGCGGACCAGGTAATCTATGAATCAAGTTACAAGTAAGTGATGATTGTTCTTCTTTAATTCCAGCAATCCTCTCTTGAAAGTTTTAGAGTCGTTGTACCCAGCCATGATTTAAAATAGATGAATTGAATTGCGATAGCGCACTCCGTCTCAAGCAACGAGAGGTTCTTTCAGGTTAATCAGTATATTATTAATGAAAGTGCTGCCCATCAGCAGCGGCTTTTTTAGTTGCTAAAAAACAGTTACATGTTACGTGCGAAATGTTTAATTAAAAAAAAACCAGCTAATTTTTCAAGGTTCTTTTCCTTTAAGGCCATTTTGCCAACTCTCGAAGCTAAAGGATAAGGATCGAAATTCAGTTATTTTAAGTTCAAAGCGCTGCCGGTAAACCCGTCCCACATTCTACACCCGTATGGACAATTTTCTAGGGATATCACTGTAATTGTCAAATCCATCCCTTGAGCTGGTGCATTTGTTCTCAGGAATATGAGAAAGGCCGATTCGCAGTGCAGATCGAACTTGTCTTGAAATCCTCCTATCTTGCTGTAGAAAACGTTACACGACAGCCTGAGAAAAGCAATAGCTACGCCATAACCACGAAGTCGACTTAAATCCGGAGCAGATGGTTCGGCTAAGAAAGTTGAGAAATCGATGACATGGCATTTTTTGTCGCACGTCCTTGCATCTTTACGGAGCAAGCTCCTGATCTTTATCAAATTTACTTGACGTAGACGTGCGCATGACACACCAATCGACTGTTGTTCTTTTAATGGCCTGCCCCTCACCCCCCCACCACCACCCCAAACGTTACCTCTAAAGGCGCTAAAATTCAAAGAAGAAATAAACCTGAAACAGCAAAGTGAGTTAACAAACCTGAAAACGAAGCCAAATTTTTCGTGGTATCTTTTTAAGTGGGGCTCCCACGTGCTCCCGTCTCGCACTTACGTTTTATCGATTTTTCCCCGAAGACAAAGCTAACGATGGAAGAGACCTGTGTAGAGTCAGCATTTTTCTACTACTAAGGTGGTCTAAACCAGGATGGATGACCAAACAATCAAATCCGACTCCCCAACCCACCCCAACAATCACATGCACCACCAACACTACCACGATCACACGAAATCTCTCCTTGAATATCCTAGTGTCTAGATTTTCTTTACACTCTTCTTGCAGAACGATGGAAGTACAGCAAGAAAACACAGCTGTTTGTCACAAGTAACCTGCTGTAAGTCCTGTAAAGATGGTAAGCGGAAAAATTACACAGTAATTTTTAGGGAGTTATTATAACTCCAAAAATGAAGTAAACATTTTACGTACAGGATAACCCCTTTTATGGGGTTAATTTAACTCCTAATTTAACTCCAAATTTGGGGTCATTTTTACTCCTGAAAAAGAGTTCTTTTAACTCCCAGTCTGTAGTAAAAACCGAAAATAGGGTTATTTTAACTCCTCAATATCTGGGGTGATTTTTACTCCTGAAAAAGAGTTCCTTAAACTCCTTTTTGGAGTTAAAATGACTCCCCCAAAAATAACTCCACTGTAAGGAGAGAAATTAAGCCCACTGGAGGAGTTAATAACTCCTTGAAAATTACTGTGAAGCCAATATAAAAGACATCTTCTGAACATTTTCTAAGAAGAAAAAGGAAATTTCATTTTCAGTGATATTGGTAGGTCACTTTTGCTGTATTTACATCGGCTGATAATCTCATTTATTTTATCTTTTTAATTAAATATCAGGCAAAGACGGTAAAGATGGAAAAAACGGTGAGTTGACACAAGGCCCTTCTCCATTTAAGAGTAATTACATATACCCCTTTCATTAATTCTGAAATCACTGTGACCTTCAAGTATCACTGGAACATTTTATGCGGGCTACTTTTTATGTATACCTTACACAAAAAATGGCACTTCTACAGAACATGCTATGATGAAAAAGGAATTAGACAAGCTGAAGAGTCAAACATTTGGTTTATAACTGAGGAAAAGTCCCTACCGTTTGATATACCAGCATGGTAGCCTTTTTGTTGGAGCTTCCCTTTATTAATCATAGCCCGCATCATGATATAAAGGACTACTCAGATAAATTCTTTACTGTCTTTACTAGCAAGACTGTTGCTCATCATGTTTTGGATAAAGCGGCCCCAATTTATTTCAGTTCGCTTTGGTTATATTATATAATGAAACTATCTATTTTGTTTCTGTTCACACAGGCAAAGACGGGCGCGATGGACTACCTGGTAAAATAGAATAGCAACTCCTGCTAGGCTACGATTTGATGTTAGCAAATTGCTTCCAGAACTGAAGCCGAGTTCAACTTGTGTAGCTTTGTGTGAACATGCATCACGTCCAGAACATGTTTTTTTTTTTTGCCATATTCATTATAATCGATAAGAATAGCTGTTGACTGTTTAGTGCAGTTTTTGAGGTGTTTGTTTTGATTTTTCTTTTCGCCTAAATTGATCCGTGCTCAACTTATTTTGTGCAAGCTATTTTGACATTTCAGAAGTATATAGCATTTTTTTGCATTGAATATACGTCACAAGAAATCTAAATCCATAGATCTCGGACATCTTAGTACTACAATGTAAATATCTGCCTTTGCTACATTTAAACACAGGAAGAGATGGCCGCGACGGACGCGATGAAATGCTGCCAGGAGCAAAGGTTGGTGGGTGTTGTTATGATCAAAAATTGTTCAACGAACGAGAACTCAGACTCCTCAGCGCTCGACTGATCTGAGTCGTAAACGTAATTTAGCGCCGATACATAACTCGGTATTACTACGCTATTTACTTAGAATGTCGGAGTTGAGGTTTTGAACTTTCTAACAGCAACTACGCCAAAAAGCTGATTAAAAAAGACTTAACTCTTAGACGTTATGCAGGCAAAGCTATGTCAATACCTTAAAAGAAAAAGGCGAGGCATGCGAATGATGGCAATTTCAGAGTATTATATTCAAAGGATTGATAGGGTTCATTTACCATTTGCCTCAAACCAGTCGCAACAGTATGGTAGTCGCACGTTTAATCCGCTTGCTGTTCATGGTTCGATTGCTCAGTAGTAATTGGTGCATTTTGCTGCTCGCTCACAGCTAATGGATTTTGATCCTCATATAAGTTTATGACAGTATAACTCGTAAAGACGAGAACTCGTGCATCATGTGCGAACGACTGTGTGAAACAAGAATTCAAACACTCACACTCGTTGTTACCTTGCTTTTTTGACATGGTTTATATTTTTGTAGGAAGATAAAGGTGATATTGGCGTGCAAGGACGAGATGGAGAACCCGGTATTAAGGTTTGTAAATATTTTTTTAGTTAGGGCAAATAACTTCCGAGAAGAAACCACCAATGAGATGACTTGACGAAAGTAGCTAGACGGCAAGGAGGCCTTCATCCCGCACAGAACACCATGAAAATCTCGCTAACTACCTAATTTATTACCTATCCGAAAGAATGATGATTTCTGTACTTAATGTTTGCCTTTTCTATCTGATTTTTGATACATAAAAACAACGCAACAAAATGAAATAGGCAAGAGATGCTATCGGACCGTGTTTCCTCAGTGTTTTGTGCTTGTGCCTGTTGAACACTGAATATTTGCTTAGTTAATTCACCTAGGCAATACAGTTGTTCTGAAATATTCATGGAATGTAAGGTATTCACATTATATAACTTGTATAACACTTAAATATTCAAAATAAAGTAACAATATAGTAATTCGTCCCCCCTTCCTTTTATTTGTATTCATAACGTCAACCTCTTCCCCAGTGCTTTTCCCTTAAAAAATGGGTAAGGGAAAAGCCCTGGGGACGAGGTTGTCATAAAGTGGGATGGCGTTAGTTTCAAAAGGCCAATAAATCATTGCTAACACAATTAATTTCGCTTTCTAATTGTATTATTTAATCTGCGGATAGAGCTATCCACTTTTTTCTGTATTTCTTTAAGGGCGAGAAAGGATCTCCTGGCAACAAAGGAAGACAAGGAGAAAAAGGAGAACTAGGACCGAAAGGAGTGCCGGGAATATGTGATCCACAGGTTCTCTAAAAGAGTATTTAAAAAAATGGATATGAATTCTATTTTTCTTCAGCTTCTTTATAATTATTATTATTATTATTTTCACCCAAAATCATGGTTTGTTTTTTTGTTCGTTTGGATATACAGTTTAAATAGCTTTTAAATTATCTCAGCTATGAAATTAATAGGGAAACTGTTCTTGTGCTAAAAATGCAAACTCTTTTCTTCTTGAATACCGCAGGGTTCCTCTTGTAGTAAATCTGCCTGCTGTAAAACTGGTAAGCAAAATTCCGATATACAGCTATTTCGAGAAAGGTTGTCGGAAAAAATATGCACGCGACAATCCCGAAAGGTAATATGGGATATGATCAATATAGAGTTCCTCACACTGCAGCTGTCGAACCTACTTTTTTTGCTTTCCTTCAGCACTCGTAGACATATATCCATGGCCTCTTGCCCTCTTTCAAATTTCTTTGAAGAACAGTGAACTAAAAACCACCCACAATACCATTCGAGATTGTCGCGTGAACTTTTTCCAACAATCTTTCTCGAAATAGCTGTATGCCATCATAAAATTCTCTACACCTGCAGTTTCTTAGCACTTATTTTGCAAAGGTCAGCAAGGTTGCTGTAACGTTTCGCCTTTTGTTTTCTCCTGTGACGTAGAAAGTCGATGTGTCTTATTGACCAAGCCTGAGGTCAAAATGGCTAGATATTAGCCAACTTCGAACTCCACAAAAGCGGGGAGGAAACGAGGCCAATTAACTGAACAGGCTTGATCAATAATTGATTTATTATATAGCCAAAAACAGTTTATGGTGGGGAAAGAAAGTGGGTAAGACAGCTATATCTTGCCTGAACGCGTAGCTAATCAGAACACAGAATTCGCCTCATCTTGCCTCCTTGCGGAGTCAGCTTTACAATAAAAAAGCTATCTTGATTCAACAATCTTAGACAATAAAGAGTTGGATATATGGCCAAGATAAATATTTTTCTTGCGTAAACTTGGCGGGCATTCCCGATAGGGTAAAATAAGCAGAAAGTAATCCAATCAGAACACAGTATTCCGGCGGTTAATCATGCGGGTAAGTGAAACCAGCCATACTATAGATAGACTTCTCAGACATGTTTTATAACTCATAAAGAAAATACAAAGGAAATTAATGTTTAATGAGTGATTGAAAATCAGATGAAAAACTGCTCATTTTTGCATCCTTAATTTGTCCTTCTAAAATCGTTTTGTTTGAGAAGTAATATCAAGCATTCGACACAGTGTTTCATCACCAGATGAAAAACCTCGAAATTCGACAAAAATACTCCGCTCGGCGTCGTATTTTCAACTCTCTTTTCAGTGTTTCATCTGGTGATGAAACACTGCGCCTCATGCTTGATATATTACATAAAGAAATGCAATGCCAATTTCAGCACCGAAGCACACGAGCAAACTCCGCGGTATCAGTGCCTTACACACGCGCACAACCATATCGCCCCCAACAGTGGTAGCCATGGACAGCTGTTTCGTGCTCATAATAAGTGACTTATTAGCATAGCATAACCCCCTGGCGAGAGGTCTCACTTTCGATCATCGACCCCGCCGCTGGTATTGTTTATAAAGAAATGCACTAAATCGGCGTTACCTCTTTCTTTCCTCTTGACAAAGGGAGCTACGCTGGTTCCCAGTTCCACTTGTTTGAGAAAGTTCAAGATCTATCAACCCGAGGAGCTACTAGTGTGGAACATTTTATTATTAACGGGTCGCTGTTTCTTGCTTTTGCTGAGTTTATTTATTATCTAAAGTCTAACTCCAATATCTACAAAATGGATGAATCAACAGGAAGATTTAAGTTATATCAAACCTTGCAAAATAATGCATCTTTTGACATTGAATACTTTACAATCGGGAAAAAACACTTTCTCGCTGTGGATAGTGTATTCCATGGTACAAACGATTCGCCGAACTGTTTAATTTATCAGTGGAATGGAAAGCTGTTTGTTGTCATTCAGAAAATAGCTAGAAAAACTCAAAGTATTTTCACTTTTTTTTACGATAAATGGTGACAAGTACCTTGCAGTATCAAACCCTCAACCTTGGCGTCGTCCCACAGAACCACATGCTTTCATTTACAAATGGACCGGAAGCCAGTTCAACAAGTTCCAAGAAGTAGCAACTGAAGCAGATATGGGATGTGATGTGTTTGAAATAAACTATGAAACTTTTATTGCCTTTGCAAACGCTAATTACTCCCAACAGTCGGCAGTTTTTAAGTTGTTAGGGGGACGCTTTGTCAAAGTGCAGTCTCTTCCTACTTATGGAGCCTATGATGTTAAGTCTTTTCAAATAAATGGTCACACATTCCTTGCCTTTTCCCGCCACAACTCCTCCTTTATTTTCAAGTGGAATGGCAACAAATTTAATCTGTTCCAGTCCATTAGCACAGCCTCGAGATTGTATCCATTTGTGATCAGCGGTCAAACGTTCCTGGGTGTGGCCAATCCCCGTGGTGAGAATAAAAAGTTTAATACAAAATCTGTTGTGTACCAGGCCGTAGGCTCACGATTCGTCAACTACCAGGAGATTCCTACTCACGAAGCGTTTGACATGACGTCATTTGAGTACAAAGGTGATACGTACTTGGCAGTGGCAAATTATGGCCATGGGATAGGCTACGCCAACAGTTCCCTGTATAAATGGATCTAAAACCAAATATAATTGAACTTGAATCAGTTTGGCTGACTTTCACAACAGCGCTGACTTTACTGAGAGCTTGCGATTCCATTGGCCCCCAGAATTTTTGCCGAAAAAATTCTTGTTTCTGAAAGCAGGTGGAGGAGGCTGCAAATGAAAACTGATCAAAATATAATTTGAAATAAAGGAAACAAACTTATACAACAGCTCTTGCGTACTATGCTGTGCTTTATTCTTTTTTTTCTCTCCTACTCATTTCACTGAAGTTTACACTTATTTCCAGATGTTTACGCCGTTATTTAGATTCCAGCATTTTGTGCTTAAAACGCCGTTAGGGAAACCCATTAGGGGAAATTATAGCCTTCTTTGGAAGTGTCAGTGGCCTTTTAACGCGCAACATCAAAGGACTCCGCCACACGTTTGACTGCTTTGACTATGCCTGCATGCCAAGATAAAAATAATAACAAACAATAGTATACGAAGCTGAGCACTTAACCCTTCCCTTTATGGTTCACGTATATTACTTGGTAAGCCTGAGGGTATGACGTTAAAGAGGCTGTTTACATTGCATGGAAAAATGCAGTTGGCGAAGCTTCCGGGTGAGCGGGGGCTACTCAACAAAGTTTTATGCGGGGTGGCTCTACTCTGATGTCCAACGCCTTATCTTTTTACGTACTATTTTTGAGAGAAAAGGTATCCCTTTCGTATATCTTCTATTGACAAATGTTACCCCTTTTACATACTTGGTGCTGCATCCCTTTTAACTGCTGTAAATACACTGTCTTTTTAATACGAGCAAATCACTTAACCACGAAGTTTTTTTGACCTTTTCAAAGCCATAAAATGAGTCTGTAATCCCTACGCTGTTATATACCTCACGCCTGGCGCTTGAAAAAGGTAATCCTTTCGGCGGAGCCATCATCATGGGAGACCCCCCTCGGCTAAAGCCTTGATTTGCGGCAATTTTAGTGATAAGACTTCGATTAAGGTGCTTTTAAAACAGGGTACAAAGGGTGTCTGAAGCTACGTGCTTTATGATCACCTAATCAGGAGTTCAATGTGACCATCTGTTGGGCGATTCTCTCACTCATTAATTAAGTATTATCATTGTCTGACAGAGTGCCAAGAGTATCCTCTGCTACGTGCTTTATGATAACCTAATCACTTGTTTACGGAGGCCACGCCTATCAAACGTTATTGGAATTATACATGTTCCAAGATTATCTTGGAAGCGAGCCACACTAAGCTAGCTACTGAGCTAACTCGTTCAACTTTTACCAAAGTACCCAAACAGGAGAATGATTCGTTTGCGTTCTCTGGTTACTTTAGCCATTTTGCTTGCTTATTCCTTTGGAACGGCACAAAAACAATCAGCTCAACAGGTATTGCTTTGAACATAATAACAGTTACAATTTGAGAACGTTTTATTTTCCATTGCAAATTCTAGCTTCAGCTCCAACTTTGCCGATGTACACGACATCGGTAAAGGTTAAGGTGAAATCAAACCTTCTGTCTTCCAAATGATGCCATGAATTTACGTGTAGTGCCAATTGTTTGATATAATCACGCAAGATTCTTCATTTGTTGATATTTTTCAAGTCCATTCCTGATTGTAATTATAACACAGAACTGAGACCTTTGTCATTCCTACGCACTTTCTTTATTTCGTCTTTTTCTTTGGCAGCCGACCGATGGGTCACCAGCAAAGGAAAGCAGCTGCCAAACTCTACAACAGCATACTTGCTGTAAAGATGGTAAGAGACCAATTTAACTGATTTTCCTTTAACACCTTACTCGAAGACTCCATTCTGAAGCTTCAAAATTTTAATCAGTACAACGATGAAGAAAAATCACAAATTTTACGTTTCTTGTTTTGTTTCTTGACCGCTTATCAGGAAAAGACGGCAAAGATGGCAGAAACGGTGAGTTGACATATCACACGCTCTTAAGTTATAACAATCTAATTCATGGAAATTTACAGAGGGGTTTGGTCCAGGTATGCTGTTTATTTGTCTGCATGCGTTTGTAGATCATGAGAGTACCAGAGTCACAGCCAGTTGTTCTTTTTATGGGTTTCAGAAATAAAAGAGTCTCGCACAGATCCTTGGGAAGTGAAACGAAGTGCCTTCCCATAAGTCTGTCGCGCTTCACCTTGAAACACGAATAGATTTATTATAAGGGTTCTTACTCAGTCCCCACCAAATAAAATACGGTAATGTACGACTTTTAAAATCCCATTTCCGTTTTCCTTAACTTCTTGGCCTTTACTAAATTCATCTTTTTTTTCTGTACATACAGGAAAAGACGGGCGCGATGGGTTACATGGTAGAGTATATTATTAAGTGATAGTATTGTCCTAATGCTTTAAGAAATCACGATTAGGTCTCATAGTTTGTCCCTGCTCAGCAAACATATGATAAATAATAATATAGTGAATTATTTGAACCCAGTAGTCATTTCATAAGTAGGTGGAATATGATCGTTCGGGTGTGAGCGCAAGTGTAGTCTTGACTAGGACTTTAAATGACAGTTACTGACGTTCCGGCAACCTGCGCGGTTCTCGTGCAAGAGTCAAGTACTCTTTACCTTTTGTCTCGTATCATGCAAACTTTTAAACAGATGACTCTCAAGGACAACGACAAGACTGGTAGTCTCCAAGTGAAACAACGATGGGGTGGGCCTTACCCTAGATCCAGAGGTCCATTCGAAATACCTAGGATCAGGCCCCTGATAGGATGAAATAACCCGTGCGCACGGGACTATCAAGAACTAGGAAAGAAAAAAAACCGGCTGGCACCCAGGGTAGGTGCGCATGCGCCTAGGGTCGCGCTGGATCATGATCCATTATATTCTTACGTTTTTTCGTTTCGCTTTGTTTCAAGAAAAAAAACCGAAAAAAAAATACTGAAACGAACAGATACGAAAATTATGAAAAACAAGACGGCATTAGTCTTTGATCTCTAATGTTACGAAGGTAACAGCGCGGTAATGATCCTCAGAATCACAGTTACTCAGAAACATGGAATATTTTGAGGTCAAAAAGCAGTTGAATTTTTTTTTTTGTCAAGAGGAAGGGTTTGTCCGCCAGGATTTAACCTTTCTCAATCTTCTTTCTTCATCTTTGTTACTATATTTAGATTTCACGCTGGCAACAGCCCTATCAGGACTCCTGACTCCTATTTTTAAGTTTACTGTGCTTATTTAGCATTATTTTTTTTTAACACAGGGAAAGATGGTCGTGACGGACGTGATGGGACAAATGGAGCGAAGGTTATTAAGCCATTGTTATGAATGTGGCCCGAATGTGTAGCATAGAAGCGCCGCTAATTTGCCTCAGTGAGTAACATACCACGTTCTCGTCTTATTTTTCCAGGGTGAAAAAGGTGAATCAGGCATTCAAGGAAGAGATGAAAAGGTTTGCAAATTACCCCTTGCTATAATTACTGAGAAAAATATCATAAAAATATCTTTGACTCTGAAGATGACTACCGCACAGGTTGTCGAAAC